TCCTGCAGGATCAGCACGTTGTCTGCCTCCTGGCTAGCCTGCGGGGGCAGGGGGGGTTGGGGGCACACCGGTCACCTGCAGTCACGGTACAAAGCGAGGGACGCAGAGGAGCTGCAGGACACGCTGGGCTTTACCTCCGCTTCAGCACAAGAAGCCATGATCTAACCAATCTGCTGAATACCCAGTTTTCATCGTTCTCATTCTCTCTCAACTGTTACCGAGTTAATCAAGAGCTCTAGTCCCGATAACGAGCTTGTTAGCTAATGAAGGGACCTCCAAACATACACACAAGCAGCATCAGGCCACTGATGTGTCAGTTTGGATTGTTTGACACATCAGATATATGTGATCTATGAGGATTATAATGCATACAGCAAACATGATCTATATCACGTGCAGGCCTGCAGGATTTCAGTTCGCAATAGCTTACAAGACCCAGCAACAGAACACCTCAAGAACCAAGCCAGCTGATCAGATTGCAGATTTATTCAGTTACGCATCAAACAGAAAGCCTAGGGTGGTGTTTCACAAAGCAAGATTTCTCATTTGGGTTAATTTAAGCTAGAAGTCATGACTGTCAAACAAGAATGCTTCTTACTTAAACTCTAATAGGACAATCATGACTTTAAGCTTAAGTTACCCCTTGCTTTGCAGAGCAACCCCCAGGTGTGGTGGCTGACCTTGGCTGAGCCAAAGATGGACGCTGTCTGAAGCTCCTTGTCGTCTTCCTCTTTCCTGGGGTGGATGATCAGGGTCACATGACAGCTGCTGTTGGTGGCGAACGTCCGGAAAGCCCCGATGATCTGGTCCTGGACGGCAAACCTGCGACCGCAAGGTCAACAGCAGTGAAGGAAGCCAAATGCCATGCTAATGTCACCAGATTAAAACCATTTATGGACGAAGGTAGAACAAGGAATTATGGGCAAACATAACTTCCAGAAGAAGAAGCACAAATAAAGAGCTTGTATTTAATGATAAGGTCTCCGATACACAGGCAGAATGCTGGTGCATGTATAAACCACACTGAACTGCCCATATAACCTTGAACAAATTTGCCCACCGTAAACACATTGATCGTACCCTGAATGTTATCAGTGGCCTAAGAACTACACGGACAATGCAAAGTCCTTACTTGTCCACCGAGACGTTCTCCTGACCCATCATGAACTGCAGGTTGTCGATGACGACGTGACTGATGTCATACAGGTACACAGCATGGTTCATGGTGTCCAGCACCGTTCTGACACAGCAGGAGAGGGACAGTCACTGACGCGACTGGGACACCAACTTTCATAACATCTAACAGAGAATTGGGGCCACGCATCTCACAATAAGATCAATATGGACTGTCAGCCACTACTATACTACACTTGTCATTGATTACTTTGCTGAATGCCGATTAGGCATTGGTTACTGTGTAGTGATTGACAGAGCAGCGTGACCCGCCTTCTGTGTGCTCCAAAGCCCCTTTTCTTCCTATAGTCACTATGCAGCATGTAATAAAGGGAGAATCCCACAGTCCATATGTTGTAGTCGAAGCCGTTATACAGAAATTATGGTTATCGGTGCTGAAGGCAAGATATCTGAAAGTTAAATCGTGTGCATGAAGAGGGAGATATCATTGCCCTCTGGGATTAAATGATCGGCCCATAGGGACTCAATGGTGGCCAGACCTCAAATCCCTGGTGAGTTGAACATGTCACTGCTGATAGCATTCCGCTGAGTCTGGGGGGAGCAGGGGGGTAGAGGGACAGGAACTTACTTAATGTTCTGCTGTCCATGGAAGGTCATGAAGTAGAGAGGAAGGTCCTCAAACTTGTCGGCCCAGGTATCATACTCCTGCAGGCTGTCCTCCAGCCTCTGCCGGGCGAACTGCTTCAGCATGATCTTGGCGAGACGCACGTTGTTGATCTCAAAGCTGCCCCACAGCGTGCTGACGCCCTGCATGCACAGGTCCAGAGCGCACTCGCTGATGAACGTGGTCTTGCCGCTGCCCGTGGGGCCTGAGGAGAACGACAAGGTGGGTGGGACACATTATCCCAAACTGCCGAGCTCTCAGGAGGAGAAAACTAAAAGAGGAGAAAATCTAGAAGTGTTAGTTAGATTTTCTTAGCGATTTAACAAACAAGGACAGTTAAATAGCAACATTTAGGCCCTATATAAAATAAACTGATTGACTGTTTGAGTGAAAAATACACTGATCCTATTGATTTCTGCATATACCTTCAAAAAAGAGAGAGCAAAATCTAACAGGTCTATTATTCTACATTAATTTAATGTCCTATGAAAGCATAAAAAAATGGCCCTAGCTGACATGGTTCAGCTCAGATTTGTTCTCACAGAAAAAACTGCCCAAGCCTGTTCTAGAGTCTTGAACCACCAGAAAGACTAAACCCTGGACAAGAAGATCAGTCAGTTAATGCTGTACGACCGGCAGGGCCGTACCCGTGAAGACGGTGAGCTCGCCCTTGCGGTGGCCCTTCAAGATCTTGTTGAGCTCAGGGAAGCGGGCCCACTTGACGCCGGAGACCTGCTCGACGTTGGCCAGCTCGCCGTAGACGTCGTCGCGGAGCTGCCGGAACGAGACGATGGACTTGTGCAGGGCGGGGATGGCTGAGAGCAGGATGTGGCCCAGGTTGCGGCCGGTGGTGAGTGCGTCGGCGGGGCGGGGCTGCTGCTCGCCAGGCCGCACCAGCCAGCAGCGCCGCAGCCCCAGCTTGCGGGAAAAGTGCTTGGAGGCCTCCCAGGCACGCATGTCGCCACCCAGCCACAGGGTGATGCGCTTGAACTGCTCCAGGTAGGGCAGCAGCACGGGTGGAAGGCTGGAGACACCACGTGGCAGAGCCAGGCAAGGCAGCCCTGTGGCCTGGTTAACAGCCAGGGCGTCCACCTCGCTGCCTGTGAGCACCACCTCCGCGTCCTTGCGGCCAACCAGCGGCAGGCCGAACAGGTTGAGGTAGGCGGCTGGCCGCGGGATGGTGATGTCGTGGTAGGTCACGCCCCCACTGGCCTCACTGCAAGCAGACAGCAGTTTCACTCCCCGGAGAGTGGCGTCCCGTGGGCTGAACCAGGGGAACACGAGGCTGTGTGTGGGCCGCAGGAAGCGCACGCCGAAGCGCTTCAGTGTGGCATTGGAGACGCGGCCGATTGCAAACATGGTCTTCGCCAGCTTGGCCTCCTCCTCGGGGAGTTCGGACAGTGGCAGGGCAGTGGAGTAGATGCGGCGTGCCTCGCCGAGCTGCGTCTCCCTCTCCTCCTGCTCCTCCGGGCTCTCCGGATACCCCAGCAGCACGTCAGGGCTGAGCGAGCTGCAGCCCTCTCTGTGCATCACCTCCACACAGTCCTGCAGGTCCTCCCAGCTGCCTTCCACCAGCGTCTCCATGCACAGGAAGCGGCCCGTCGTCTTGTCAATGAAGAGGGTGAAGGCTTCCCGCTCACAAACCGCCGCGTCCGCCCGGAAGAAGGTGGGGGAGTGCAGGCAGCTGTATCCATCCCGGAACAGGATCTCCCGTGAGCGCAGATACTGCTTAATATCTGTCACCGTGATTGGCGTCTCGGGGAAGTCCAGCGAGGACTTGGCATTCTTCTTGAAAGTCCTGCAAAGCTGCAGGAGTCCCGGGAATTGGGTCCAGGGTGGACCGGCACAGGCAGTCCAAAGGGAGGCGAACCGTGCGGGCCCACATCTCACAGGAGGGAAGCTGTAACTATGGAGAAGCGGCCCTCCAGAGCAGAGGCCGGCCTGCCTGAGACGCGCAACACGCTTGAGGAGAGAGCTGAACCTCCACATCTCCTCCAACCAATCATCAGGCTTCTCACATCTGCAGGTTAGCAGGACACCGTCAGATCCAGTGCTAAGCTATGGACACCCATAATGTTTAGCATGGCACTTAAGGTACAGATGATAATATTGAGGCTAAAGATTCACACTTGTTAAGGTTGTAAGTTCTAAACCTAAAAACACAGTGTTGTAACGCTAAGCATTGTACATCACCTAAAACTTATTTACAGAGACATGCATGTCTAGAAATAAAGGCCACAATTAATGCGATTGTTATTAAGCAAGTAAATATTCATTACATGAATGTACTAACTCAACGAGTGTGTCTAAATCGCATCAGAATGGCAACGCATGGGCAAAAGAAGCGTTTTTCTTACTCCTGTTCTGTTCAAATAAATGTGCAGAATAGGGAGGAGCCTTTTGCTGATTTGTTGTCGTGGGATAATAATCGCCCTGATTGGCTAGAAAAGGCGCGGAGAAGCGGAAGAGGAGGGACTTAACACTCGTGTGGTTGTGACGGATTAATAAAATTCCGCTATATCGCCCATATGCCCGGAATGAATATTCCCCAGAATTCACAGTCGTAATAAAAATATTGCATTTAAGTTAAATATTTATTTAACATTTTAAAGGCTATACCGCTTTTAATGCACTAGTTTTTTTAATAAACACTGTACGAGTACTTATCTGAATATATGTACTGTATTACAAATAGTACAGCACAGAACAATGTGACAAATTTATTTTACATCGCGGGTTATGTGCTGAAACAGCAGTGCCAAGTAACAGTACGTTAAATTACATTCGCCCTATCCTTCCCGTTTCTACGGACAAATAAAATGAAGAGTAGGATAACAAAAATAACAGCATTCCCTTGCTATTATGGAAACGTGTGCATACTAAACCTTTACACTTAAACGCATTTAACGACGACAATCAACTTACCTTCACCTTGCGTCTAGTTCTCATGTGCTTTTCACGGATCCATGGCTGTCCTCACACCAAAATACATCCGTGTGGCACTGAGTGACGAGGATACATTTTTGGAAGGAAAGAAATTATATTTATATTTATTGTTTGTGACATGTTGTGTTATTAGCTTTTAAATAGTTGTAATATATATGTCTGGACAATTTAATATATTAAGGCAGATTATAGAAAACAGTAAGAGCCGGTGATAATGCGTCCATGTTTCCGGTAGGAAGGTATACGGTGGCGTACCGGTCTGCGCGTCCGCGTCCCTCACGCTGTCCTCTAGCAGATTTTCTTCCGTGATGGTGGTCGGCGCAGCGGCTTGTATGTAACATTTTACTGCCGTTCTGCCATGACAGCCAGGGGCACATCGAGTCGCTTCCTTAGAAGTGTGCTGCAAAACGGCGTGGGCCGATACGTCTGTCAGCTTAAGAGGGTCTCGCTTATCTTTTCCAAGAACGGACAGGGATCCCTTGGAGCCAGGTTTGCAGTCAGTTAACTAACTATTCAGCGCTACTGGGAACGGTAATCGAAGTACGGTATAAGCATGGTCTTTGGTCCATCGTCAGTATTGGTCCTACACTCGTTAGAAATGTAAAGCCACAACGAGGCCAAGTCCATCATATCTACTTTTTTAGGATGACGCTCTTGACTGTTACTTCTACTAATCTAATAATGGCTCGTTAACCAGGTTTAGCGTTGCGTTTCTTTCAGCTTCAATTGAAAATGTAACTGATTTATTTAGTTTTTACATGCAGATTATTTCTCTTGAGAAAACAAGCTATAAGGATAAATGACTTTAGGGATCTACCTTATGTTCTCAATCGCATTATTGTTTTCTATCAAGTGATTTGACTTGATTTTAACTGAGCTTCGGCTGATGTGCTTATTTCAGAGAGTTTATTGAAGATGGCGTGGTGGATTTCGCCAGGAAAAATCCCGGAGTCGTGGTCTATGTTTCCCCTCAGCCCGTCCAAGTAGCCAAGATTGTGGCAGAATACCGTGAGTGTAAAAAGGACACCGACACAAAGCCGCTGCCTGTTCACGTTTTCTTTCCCCCCAACGTCCTTCAGTAGAGGGCGCTCGGCACACACAGTTGCTACATTTCACTAATGAACGTCTATCTGGTTTATACAAATCTTTTTTTGGCTGCATTCTAACATTTGGCAAATGCTGATACCTGCTTAGAAATTAAGGAAGCAGTAAATAAATTGCCTGTGGTAAATTCTTGTTTACTGGGTTTGACATAGTGCCCTAATGGTTATCGTGTTTGACATTTGCTGATGGTTTTTGGATGAGGATTTATGTTGTACACTATGTGACTTACAACAGCAGCTCTCCCTCATTCAGAAAACCAGTGCTGAGCTGCTGATCCCTCGTTATCAGGGAAGCTTAATATCCCAGCTTGGTTCTGTCTTGTTCTGGTTTTGGTTCTGTTGTCAGTTCAGGTCACTGCAGTGCAGAGCTCCCCCCACCCCAACCATGACACCAACTAATGCTTTGATTTAGGAATTTTTAAAAATGTTTTTATGGGTGTTTTGGGGGACAAAGTTTGTGCAGGTTGCCCTTCTGGCTGTACTCTCGGTCCAGAGTTAAGATTTGACCCTAAACCAGAGTGAAGTATGACCTGCTTGATGGAGGAAAAGCCCTGCGGCCTCATCTCAGCCTTGGCGGCCAGGGCTCTGCTTTACTGACTCGCTGTGCAGAACGTCGTCTTACACCCGTGGGTGAATGTGGAAGTGTATTGGAGTGGTGCTGTTAGGAACTGGAGTATTACTTCCATCAGCGTCTCTCAGGACATAAACACAGCTGTTCCCGGAGCTGATGATAAGCTGAGAGAGAGAGAGAGAGAGAGAGAGAATGGCCCATATTTGAATGGTTGACTGTACACGCTAAATACATTGAAGGCTTTGTTGTGTGTGTTGTTTTGTGGCTGTAATCTGGCCTTTCCTCCCACTCCTTTCTTTAACTGAATGGTTTTGTGTTACAGTGGGACCACTTGTTTGTTTAGATAATTATAACCATAGGTGTGGTGCTTCAGCCTTCCAAATGAACGCCTGTAGCGCCTCGGAAAGACTACGTGTCGATATCTGTTTGCGCACCAGGAAGACGGCTTTGTTTTCCTCAGAGGAATTCATTCAGGTGGAAACCTCACACCTCCTGCTGAACTGGTGAGACGGCTCCAAGATCTCCGCCTCCCATTCTGAGGCAGGACACCCACCTTCACACGCTCTGCTGCTTCCCTGGTTTTGCTTGAAGAAAAGCCGTGGTAAAGCGACTTCGTGTTTTCTTGGAAGAGCCCGTACTACTGCAGGCATGGAAGGTCACAGCACCTCTGAATTCCATGGCTCCAGCATAGAATGGTCTCTCTGGTCAGCAGCTGTCCTGCAGCACTGACCCATTCTAACCTTAAATAAATAATATGGTTTCATGTTCACCGAACGACATTCGGTGTGACGCAGCAGCAGCAGCATTTCTCACTCGCACACGCCTAGTGCTAAATCCTTGCTAAATCTCTCCCTGTGTCCTGAGAGACATTTTCTGTTGACCCAATTCATGGCGGCCGTGTTAAAAAAAGGCTCGCTGCTGACGATGACCTCGATGTTCCTTACGTTAGATCAGAGGATCTGATGTTGTCCCGCTTGAGGCCGGCTTGCCTGGTCCAGCTCCTCCTGGGATGCTCCTCATGAGGTTTTATTTAGCGCCTGAAACACCCAAGGAGGATGACTGGCCAAGTAGTTACTTCAGCGGAGGAATTCGGGGCCGCGGTTGGCCTAAACTCAGCTCACCCTGAGGCCCCCGGGGGGGAGGGTAGGGGGGGCTCTGAGCTGAATTGCATCGCGGAGCGGCCAGCTGTGTGGACCTGTACAGACACGCCGTGTGTTTGTCCTCGTAGCCATTGCGAAAGCCATGGCTCAGAGAAAACGAAACGGGCCTTTTGTTTTTATCTCGCAGTGAATGGCAGCGTGAGGGAGGAGACCGTCAACAAGAAGACGACCCAGGAGATTGGAGAGATACTGGGGCAGCTGGCCAACCAGTCGGGCCTGGACATCATCCGCATCCGCAAGCCCTTCCACACGGACAGCCCCAGCATCCAGGGCCAGTGGCACCCCTTTGTCAACCGGCCGTCCACCCTGGGCATGATCCGACCTCAGGACAGGCAGCCCGAATGAGACCGAGAGGGGTCTGGAGAAGTACTGTGAAATATCGCAGGTCGCAGGGCTGGGTCGATATTTTGTCATGTGACACTCCAACCATCGATGGCGCCGCCTTGGGGTTCCAGGTTGTGTGGGGAGTAGCGACTGCGTCTTAGACCTGGAGAGTCGGACACAATCTAGCAAGTTCCCAGCTTTCTTTGTTTATTTTCCATCCCTTTGAGGTGTTCCGCCTGTCCATCATGCTCAAATAAATTGTTTCCCAACATCCTGAATGATCCATTAACATGTTTGTGGGTCGTATTCTGGTGCTGAAACTGGGACGGCCCGGCCTGGCGTTTGAGGCACGTAACAGGTGCTTGTACCAGCTGCGTAGATTGTTCCGGAGGCCTTTTCACACTGTTTGCAATGTTGAGTTGGAAAATGGCCAATGTGCATTAAACACCCACCCCAGTTTTTATATAGGCTTTTACACTTAACTGAGATAGAGAGTGTCCCATTATAGTTAATTAGCCACCAGTTAGAGTGGTTTATTTGTTTTATGTTGCGCTGTGATGGGTTTGATAATTGATTTTCTTGCACGTGTTTGTAACTGGTGACGAGACTTTGACATTCTGCTCCCCCCCCCCCAAAGGGGAGCGCAGCACGAGCTGACATGCTGATCGACTGGCGCTTAGAGAGGCTGGAAATTCAGGTTGCAGGGACGCGCTGGCGTGCAAGATGTCGCTCGTGCCTCCTCGCTCGAGTGCCCCTGGAATGTGGCCGCCGTGTGCCCCTGCCCCGATCGAGCCTTGTGACACGTAAACATGCTGGCTTATTGTTCCTCCGTGTGATGCGGAGGGCCATCCCGGCTCCTGCGGGCCCTCCCCGGCCGCTGGCTGCCCACACTTTGTTCGTTAGGGCTCCTTTCGAGGCCAAGCTGCATTGTATTATGGGAGATTTTCCTGCAGTTCCAACCGCGTGTCAAAAAGCCTTGCCCACCTCATTTTAAAAAGGCACATTTAGATTTAAAAAAAATGGAATGAATGGTCCTTGTTGCTGAGCAACAGCGGCTGAGCTCTGGTCAATGCTATAGTCTGGCCTTGGTGCGGTGGGGGGGGGGGTCCTGTTCCTGTCAGTGCCCTTCAGACACTTCCTGGGTAACAGGATTTAGGATGTGTGAGTGCGTCACAGGAGCTCCAATGCCTGATGGGGTGCTTGGCCAGGGCCGGGGAGAGCTGTGGGTGCCGTCCTTCGTCAAACAGACTTGCTCCAAACGAAGATGGAGGACAGGAAAGGGACGGAGCCCCCGCTGGGGTCACGCTGAGGTCACGTGTCTCCTGTGACAATGTGGGCTGAGCCTGGTTCCTGTTCTCCTCTGAAGGCTGATTTTGGGCATGGAGAGCGAGGGACCGGATGCAGGGACTGGAAGGGCTCTGCAGCCACGTTCCTTACACAGTGCAGAGGCACTGGGCTCCGTGCATGAAATCTCCTCCCGCCACTGGTGCTGAAATACAGCTTTTGCTGGAGGGTTAGAAATAATTGGCAAGGCGGAACACTGACAGCAGCAGTGTGAGCTACTGCATCATCACGGGCCACACAGCAAGTCTCTGAAGCTGACACCAGGGGGCACTGTGGGGCCCAATTAATCGTGTAGACGTCTAAGGCAGAGAGAAAGCGGTCGTCGAGCCCTTCTGCATTCTGGTGGGGACCCAAAATCTTCATACGAAGGGCTCACTATACCCGCTTAACTCCACTCTGCCCCCCCCCACAGGTGCCAGTCACTGCTTACAGCACCTCTTCACTGTCGGCATGTTTGGGGGTGAATTCTCCTTTTGGACTCTGATCTGTTGCCGCACCACGCTGACTCCAGGTGTGACAGACCATCTGTCGCCGGGCCGGGTCGGTCAGTGTGCGGCGGTCCGTCCTGACCGTGGGGGCGTCGTGACCGCATGGGAACCGGGCATCGAACACGAGAGAGGAACACGAAGCCTCTGGTGACCTCAGAGAAACCGTCGGGAGATTCCTCAGAAAAGAATGACATCCGTCCAGTTCTGGCTCATGGCTCAGATGGAAGCGGGGAAGGGTGGGGGTTCATTAGAGTGCAGTGGTGGACGTCCCCCCACCTAATTAAATGGGGCAGTTTAACGGACAGCGTCACAAGGTACATTACCACAAAGAACATGGTACCACAAAGAACAAGTCATTTTTTATCATCTTTTTTTTTTTTTTACTTGAAAACATTTACACATTTGAGAACATGTTTCTCCTCACAGGGGAGCCATATTGGAACATCACGGCCCTGTTAGGAGAAGCAGAAACACCTCAGGACGTTTATAAAATAGGCAGACAATTAGTCCAAATGAGAAAGAAGTTACTAGAAAGATCAAAGGTGTAAATAATACTGTCGTCACATGTGACTCCAATCCCCTCCATCTTCTGCTGTATGCCTCGTCCTCAAACGCCTCGACCTCGTGCCACACCAACTGAGAGACCAACTGGGAGACCAACTGACAAGAGCGATGGCGTGGTGTTGGAGAGGTACTGGCACAAAACGATGCTGGGGTGGTGTGGGGTGGTGTGGGGGGGGGGCAGGCACTTATAATCTCACCTGAACTTACAGCCTCATTTTCCAGGGTTTATTTTGAAGGTTTGGGATCAGAACTGGTGCAAATCCAAAGGCTCCTGCAGCACCCTGACGTGGGCAGCAACTGGTCTTGTCACAATCGTGACGTTAGCAGAACCCTGACCCGCCTGTGGTGAGCACACCAGCTGGGGAGCGGCCCATCCTGGCAGGACCTGACCTCCGGCAAACGGGCACCGCGACTGGCAGGATAGACCCTGCAGCTGGTGCAGCGCCAAGACCGTTTACACGCTGCGTGTCGGCCGGACCCGACAGAGCGATGTCCTCTGTGGACGAGCCAAACGCAGAGGGGACAGAGACGGCCAAAAGGGACCCGGTCACCCGCAGGGTCGCGGATGGGCAATGCCGTCTCTGCTCAAAGGGAGGCTCGTGTCACAGAGATCAGTATCATGTCCGGTTATCGTTTCAGTATTAACTTTTTTAGTACAGGCAATCCCCAGGTTACAAACGAGATCCACTCCTGAAGTCTGTCTCTAAGTCGAATTTGTAGGTAAGTCGGAACAAGAAACGCAATCGATAATACAGTGAAAATAAAAGTAAATACAGTTCTGTACTGTGCCTGGAGGCGACGATCCGCTGAAGCCGTGCAGTGTTTTCAGGAGTCACAAAGCAGTGCATTTAATCCAAGTTAACCACTATTGTTAGCTGCAGGACCTGATTTGTAGCATATCTGCCTGATAATTCATCCTGTGGAGACAGCGCCCCCTATGGGTGTACTGCACGTGAGGTGTGTGCTCATTTAACTTGCATGAGGAGTTCAAGATCGTGCGTGAAAGACCCAGAAACATAGCTTAGCATGACGTGTGTGGCCTCCTGCTGATCTGGCCTGCGGACCCCCCACCCCCACCTGGGACCATGCCACAACAGTCACTGCACTAAGGCTTCGTCATGTATTCAATCAGGATGTTTAGCTGGACGTAAATATCTGGGATTATCTGCTCACACGAAACACACGGCGCTGTCATTCCTCTGCTTTGGTCCCTCGATTCCTTCCCGCCACTTCTTGACATCCGCGGGATTAAGGGCGTTACCTGTCACCGCCAGACACGGTCAGCATGACTCGCTTCGGTAAACTTTCAGGTGTGGAGTTCTGCCAGTAGAACCTCTGCGCATGAAGGCGTTTCCTAAACAAACACGCTGCGTCACGTCCACTGCACGGCCCATGTGTGCAAATAGAGCGCGAAGGGTCACTCTTACGACACTACCCTGGCGAGACCCAAAGGCATGATGGGTAGCCCTGACAAAGTGCCCTATGGAATATGGGCCTTGTCAAGTCAGCCAATCAGGGGAGGGGGAGGGGCTCTGATACTGCTGTGAAAATGGTGTGGAGTTGAAACAGCCAAGCGGAAGGGTATTCTGTTATGAAACAGGGATGAACCAGTAGGCAGGGGGCTGGGGGTCTATGGAATGCCTTGTTTACATTGGGATTAGTCAAGAACCAACACAGCATGGATGGAACCCAGTGGAAAAAACGTTTAGCCAGACTGCTTAGATCCCCTTCCCAGAATGCAGCTGGTTGATTCAGTTTGTCCAACCAAGCTTTTTCCCCGGGGTTTCATGCAACGCCGCACTTCATGCCCTTTGAAGACCACAGTCGTCACTGCAGCAGTCTTGCTAGGAAATCTCACGCTATTGTTCTGCTTCAAGCCACCGTCACATGTAAAATATGGTACCTGACGGTGGAACCGGAGAAAATGAAAAGCGAGGAGAACAGTGTTCTGCAACAGAAGAGCCTAAGCCAGTCCTTACGGCAGACTAATAGTGCAAATTTCGCGGCAAAGTTCTACGTGGTTCTTATGATGTTGACAGTTTGCATTCCTCAAAAATGTGGCAGTTGTGATTATTGCAGGAATAAGGTGACAAGGGAATGCGATCCTCCCAGAACGTTCATACAGGTGTGGCCTTTTCCACATGACTAAACGTGGGCGTTTTGGGGGGGTGGGGGGGGAGTCGCATTTCTGGAAGTTTCCCCCCGGAGCGGTCACTTGCTCTGAGTCCAGCCCAGAAGCAGCAACGTCTAACGACAAGCGATATGTTCCACGCAGCGGGAGGTGGGTCCGGACCTGTGCGGACTTTGCTCACGCTTCAGACCAGCTTCTCCATATCTGAGAAAAAAAAACAAAAAGAGTTCTTAATTATGTCTCTCATTTCCATTGGCTAATGTCCGTTTTGCAAGGCAGCCGGGAATAAACGCCCTTATGAAAGGAACATACATCCAGCAATACTGTGGAGTGTCATACTGCCGGGCTGTTCTAACATCGCGCAAGGGCATAGCTTTGGGGTGAGCACTGGGGGGGTGTGAGGTCTCCACCCATTTAAGGGGGTCCAGGGGGTTGTATTGGCTGGTTTTAATTTACCCCATGAGATCGCGTGTCCTATCTTGATGTTAAAAGTTATCACGCGTGTGCCGATCCAGACTGTAAAGCACTTACACCTGACTGCCTTTACCCGCCTGTTTTTCAAACACTGCCACGTGGCCGAGAGGGACGTCTGCAGAACCGATGAGGCTGCAAGGTCATGGCTAAACCCCTGGGGGCCCCCTGCTGGCGGGAGAAGTGTATCACAGCACATCCGGCCCTCAGAGTGGTACAACCCCTCCCCCTTTTTTTGGGGACAAGGTCACGCACACACGCGCACACACAGGAAGGCAGTCCTAATTAATTAGTGGGGAATTGCTGCTGAGTGTACTCCCAGGGGGGGGAGGGGGCAGGGGCAGGCTGAAAATTGCCCTTTGAAGAGGAGGCAGGAGGGGAGGGCCCCCAGATGCTCTGCCTGTTAGTCAAGACCAAGCAAGGAGCCAGCGCGACCCCTGCCACGCTCGCCTCTGACCATGAGAGTACAAACAACCCCCCCCCGTGAGTCTAGTCCCAACGCCGTCGTTAGCACTAGGCACTGACAGCGCCGCCCTGCAGGCGTACATGAAGATTGCATGGTGTGGTAACATCTCCCATTTTAAATGGACGGATACGCAATGACGTATGCGTTTAAAAAATGACAAATCCCTAGTTAATATAAACCTCTTATGTAAAGATGTGGGTCTAAAATAGATGGACGGAAAGCATCACTGATGCGTACAGACACACACACACATGCACACACACACACGGTCTGAAAGCCTCTTACCGCTGGTCTTCGTTGCCATGGCAACCTATCCAGCCCATTCCTGTCCGGTGCACGCAGGTTCTGTCCGGATGACACACCTCAGAGCCTGCTGATGCCCCCCCCCCCCTTGTCTCTCCTCCTTGACACTTCCTGCCCTGGGCCTGTAGCTCCCATAGAGATACACCAACTGGCTGCTTTGGACCCAGCTGGACCCGGTGGGACCAGCTCCATCACAGGCATCACTCGCCCCCACCCTCCCTGCTTGTCCGATCTATGAATCCCACAGCCGTATGCCAATCAAGTCCTGGCAACGCCCCCCCCCCACACACAGTTCTGCCCATATTGTGAAGGTGGTCTCCCTCACAGGGCTCCGACGAGGCCCTCATAGAAGGCTAATACTGACATCCGGAGACTTCCACTTGCACCCTGACCGGCCCGTCCCATCGGCCTTGCTCTCCGTCCCGCCATTATTTACATGAAAGTTCCATGGGGGCAGGACAGAGAATCATGACAGGTAACATTTCTGGCACCGTCAGACACCTGTGTGGCTCCTTCAGTGTCAAAGGGTCAAGCTCTGCTGCAAAGGATCCTGGGACTTTGGGGGGGCGTCTGTGAGTCAATGTGCCCCCGCCTGGGGTCTGCTGAGGTAGATTTGTGTTTGCAGGATAAATGTCGGAGCATTTTTATGTATTATTTTAGCGCCATTGTGTGTGTGTGTGTGTGTGTGTGTGTGTGTGTTGCATGGGTCAACAAGATGGCGGAAAGCTGCAAAAAGCTCTGGGTGTGTCAGCCATCTAGTACCACCCTATTCGCCAGGTGGCCAACGGCTTAAAAAAGGGAGCAGTTAGTCCACCCCACAACTAAGGGGCGCTACACAGAACTCTCGTCCGGCTGGCTGGTCACCAGCTGGGTGTGCTTCCTCTTTTCCAGGATACGGTTCAGCTCCTCGGTGAAGGAGTGGTAGAGCGGCGACGTGCTCTCAGGGTCGGCCTGCCTCAGGAGCATATAGCTGTTCCCGTTCATCTTGCGCAGGACGCTGGGCAGCGTCGCTGACAGCCCGTTGGCGTATTCCGAGGCCGGCAGGGGCGGAGGTGCCGGCAGGGGCGGAGCCTCGGGGAGGGGCGGCTCCTTACCAGGAGATAGCTGACCCTCGCCGGGGACGATCTGCAGGAAGCCACCGCCGGTGCTGCCCTCGGCCCCGCTGTCCTCAGCCTCCTCCCACTTGCCGTTGCAGCGGCTGGAGATGGTCTTGAGCTCCAGGTGGGAGCTGCGCTTGCGCTCGGCGCCGCCCTGCTGGTGACTCAGCCGCTTGCCCCTGTGTGGACCCGCCACGGCGCAGAAGGACACATAGAGGAGCACGGTGGTCAGCACGAGGCACAGGCCGCCCAGGATGGCCACCAGCGAGATATAGAGTGTCTCCATGTTCCGGAAGGTCTGTGGCAGCGGTGCGGGCGGCGAGGGCAGTGGCTGTTCGGTGGGTGGGTCTGGCAGGGATGTGGGCTCTCCTGGGCCCGGCCGGACCCACACGGCGTAGATGGCCACCGGGATGCGCAGCCCGTTCTCTGCGGCCAGGCAGATGTAGCGACCGCTCTGCTCGGGTCGGGCACCAATCAACAGCAGCCCGTCAGTCCCAACCCGGTAGCCCGAGTCCAGCCCGTAGCCCTGCAGCTCGCGGCCGTCCATCGTCCACTGCGGCGTCGCCAGGTTGGAGCGCAGCTCGCACTGCAGGAGCACATCGTCGCCGGACATGACGGAGCGCTTGCGGCGGATTGTGGAGTCTGCAGGGAGGTACACTCCATTAGCGGGATCTGGCCTTTAAAACGCTGGAATGCTGTTGGCGTGTCATGTGATCTGAGTGTGACGTTTGGTTCACTTTGTTGCCGGATTTAATAGCAGTGCCCTCAACAGGAAGGCCTGGTATCACACTCCCGACAGCTAGGGGGCAGTGTGGAGCAGTTATCTGGATTGCCATATAAGCAGAGCCGCAAATACTAAACAGGTAGGGGTTTGGTGGGAGCTGCCCAAGGACTGGGTTATAGTTATGGTTAAGGTTAAGATGTGAATGTTTACCACCACTGAATCCAATACCACCTGAAGTTGGGGGCCCCCCTATTGGGGGCCCACGATTAGCATGGAGCCCCATGGGGTCACACACTGTTAAGTCTGGAAGTGGGCGGGGCCACACTCACCATCCTCCTTGGGGTTTCCACAGCCCCGGTTCCCTTCAGTGACGTCCTGGACAAGGCTGGACCTGCCAGGAGGCGGGGCATAGAGTAAGTCCACGTCCCGCAGTGGCGCCGCTCTCTTCCTCTCACACTCGTGCCCATACCCCAGTGAACACGTTTAAATCACACGTGCACACGTGCATCCCGTGTTTTCCCCCACATATGTACAGCAGCACGAGAGCAGATAAGATGTAAAGATGTCTGCCCCGGGATGAACCGCCCCCCCTCCCCCCCCAGTTGGACAGGCCCTCACCTGTCTGCACGGGACTGCACCTCTACGCAGGCGGCCCCATCCCAAGCACACAGGGGGTCCCGAGCGAAAACACAGTCATAGCAGGAGGAGTAGCGTCCGCACGTGGAGAGGGGCAGCTGGAGGACAGCGGAGGGGGAGCCCACGTAGACGCTCCTCTGTAGGGGGGCAGAGAGGGACATGTTAGCATGTTTACGTCCCGCCACACAAAGCCAACGTAGCACAGATGCTTGTCTGCAGCATCCCTGTATTTACATGACGGGAAACAGGCCCTGACACGTCAGTTCACAGCATTAAATCAGCCAACAGGAGGCGTCCTCCGGGGTTTACTGCTCCTCGTCATTTTCTTGTTCAGGCTTTTAATGACACATAGCCAGTGGTGGCATTTAGTCCCACTCATACTATGCATTTGCATGGCGCCCCAGAGGTTTGAGCCCCTCTGTTGACCACAAACAGTCATTACACTAAGTATTAAACAAAACTCTCCTTATTTAGGAGATGTTGAAGCAGCGTGCTCTGCTAACCAGCTAGTTAGCGATGATCTTCTGACTCTGCTTGACATTTACATGAATACCGATGGATTCTGCACGTGAACGTGAACCCAAACCCTAAACGATGATCAGATTGGTGCCGACATGAACATCACCTGTGCCTGTGAGATCACGATCTTCTCGACCGGCTGGGGCTTCTGAAAGAGCTGCAGCTCCTCAGTGATGTGCACCTGACCTCTGACCTCTACGGCCCTGTGCAACCAGCCATCATCTGTGTGGGGGAGGAGAACATTTCAAACTGGATTTAGGGAAGCACTTCTTTACACAGCGTGTAGTCAGAGTATGGAATAGTCTTCCTGATAACGTAGTGCAAGCTGAATCCTTGGGTTCCTTTAAATCAGAGCTAGATAAGATTTTAACAACTCTGAGCTATTAGTTAAGTTCTCCCCAAGCGAGCTTGATGGGCTGAATGGCCTCCTCTCGTTTGTATAGTTCTTATGTTCTTATCACTCAGACAACATTCTCATAACATTCCGGGAACGTAAGTCTGCCTGGGCCTAACGGGCCCCATAAAGTCATCAGCAGAACAGGTACGACAGAGAACCATCGATGAATAACCAGGATGAAGGTATTTCTCACAATCCTGCAAAGAATGTGGCCACGTGAGTCATACTTGGAGGTCAGAGGTCACCACCGACCCACCTGTCCCGATGAAAAGCAGATCGTACTGTTGACCGTCCAGCGCGGCCACCCTGAGCACAGCAATCTGGGTGTAGCTGACCCTCCTCTTGACCAGCAGGGGGCGATTTTCCATGGGGCGGATGTGCTGGGACACCAGCGGGTGTCTGCGTACGAAGTTAAGCACGTCGTCCGGAAGGTCGCGCGAGGAGTTGATGCCCTTCGCCCTGAATGCATCCGTGATGCACTGGGGGGCAGGGGGGGGGGGGCAATCAAATAAACAGCATGACTTGTGGCTGCAACTGCGAGGGTCATTGTACAGTCATGCCTTTTGCATGCTCTGTGTCATGTGTGACCATGTAAGTAACAGAAACGGCGGCGCTGCCTTCACCAGCCATGGAGCTCGACAGCCCTACAGCCAGTTCCTCCAGTTACACATTCACCTGCCTTCTACAGAATGACACTGGGGATTCCAGCTGGGTTCTCACCTCTCCCTACACAGTGACGTCACTCACTGCTTAAACTGGCACGGAAATGTGGCTTCCGCGTTGATGTTTCTGGAAGGGGCTGTCAGGATGGGCTGGCTGTCTCGTGCTTAATGAATGTCGCCTTAATCCTGGCTAAGCCTGACAGCTTCCTGTAAACCTGACTGACTGTTAGGGTCTCGAGGTTGAGGGGTCAGACGCTGACTTTTTAAAGTATCTTTTTTGATACTAAGCGTCTTTTAAAACAGCTTGTGGAATTTGTATGTGGGGTACTGGCAGCTCCCAGCATGCAGTATGGTGGCGTATGGGAGCTCACCGAGCCGGGTCGTGGTTCCGGAACATTCCCTCTGTATTCCGTCCACTTGGAGTCCTCATTCTCCATGTAGGGCCCGTCGAAGGCGTTCTGCACTTCCTTGATGGAATAGCGGCACACTGCAGACGTTTTCACATTTTTCCTGTGGAAGAGCGTTTTTCCGCAGGTGAGGAGCAAGGTTAACGATTCTACAGCCATAGACTGGGGGCTTCTGCTCTGCTCGGGGTGTGAATTTCCATTGAGAGAGATTGTAAAGACCATAAGTGACTCAGGCTCCTGGCAGTTTGGGTGCAGCTTACGGGCTGGACAATTGCATGTGGAGAATGACAGGGAAACGGGCCGGGCCGTCAGCGCTGAAAGAACTGATCCTGGATCAGTTTGTTCATCGCGATGACAGGCTGAGACTGCTTCAGGACCCATTTGGCCGTTTCTGTCTGTAAACTGGAACATCCGGTCTGTCAAACGACTAACTGGCGTGGGACACGTCGCTGGCAAACTCACTGTGACTTGATACAGAACCAAAGGGAGTCAGAGCAGCCGATACGGAGCCAAAGGAAGTCATGACAGCTGATACAGCCAAAAGGAGTCTGGGCAGCCGTTATAGAGTCAAACAAAGGGAGTCAGGGCAGCCATTACAGAGACAAAGGGAGTCAGGGCAGCCGATACAGAGTTAAAGGGAGTCAGGGCAGCCGATATAGAGTTAAAGGGAGTCAGAGTAGCCGAAACAGAGCCAAAGAGAGTCAGGGTGGCTGATACAGATCCAAAGGGAGTCAGAGCAACCAATACAGAGCCAAAAGGAGTCAGGGCAGCCGATACAGAGCCAAAGGGAGTCAGGGCGACCGATACAGAGCCAAAGGGAGTCAGGGCAGCCGATACAGAGCCAAAGGGAGTCAGGGCGACCGATACAGAGCCAAAGGGAGTCAGGGCAGCCGATA